GCGGAAATTTTATGAATTAGACTCAAAACACCAATGTGTTTGATATCTAAAATTAATACAGCATTAGTTTTTTTTTTTATCAATTATTAATATGAAGGGAATCATTATCTATACTAATAAAAGCCTATGTGGTCATCATGCCCTCATGCCGTGATGCCCTCACGACCTCACACCATAACAATCCACCACCAGGAGGCTGCATGCACAGTGGGTGTGCGTGGGTGGGCAGGGACTTGATGCTGCGTGTGCGGCACAGAGGCGGGTCCCAGAGGCTCCCTGTGGCTACAACAGGGGCGGGACCCCACAGCTCTGGCCTACCTCTTTGGGGCAATCCATCAAGGAGCCCCGGATGCGTGGGCGGGGCCTACTTCTCTGGGGAGATTGATTGCGGGGCTCCCACACTGTAAGAGGGCACAAGCTAGGCTGGGGACCCCCACACCCAAGTGCATGAATTTCGTGCACCAGGCCTCTAACATCTAGATAAAATAGGTAGGTTTGCATAAAGCTTTAAAGGCTTTATCTGGTTAGTTGGATATTATAGTTATTAATCCTACAGGTCATATTTTTTAAAAATTGTCTAAACCTTTATTAGCTATTGCATAGAAGGAATTTATGTAAATAAGTGATATGCATACACTCTTTTTGAAAGTAGGTCTTCCTCCCCAGAAGTACCATTAACATTTTGCTAGAACTTAATATTTAATGTCTTGAATTACAGTTATTGAAGCTATTTTATTCTAAGCTTTATATTGTTTTTCCTTACTCACTTTTATAATTCTGTAAAATTTAGCCAGTGTTTTCCACATGGAGGATTTTCTGTAACTGCATGTAGAATCTAATAGAAGTGAATTTAGTACAGGCCTGAGGGTTCTAAGTCTTGGTCCAGTTCCTCAACATTCTTATCTAATGTTTCCTTCTACACATACGTGGTTATCATAGTACTCTCCTATGTTGCTGCGACTTTCAATCTTTCTACCCACTGATTAAGTTTGTGACAACTATGACTACTCCTGTTGAGGTCATCTTTCCTTCTTATTTTAATACTTCTATTCACAGCAGTTGCTGATAATTATAGATATTTCTATTTTAATGTATTGGAGAGGGAGGAGTACACCAGCTTAGAATAGGGCTTTTTCAAAATAATTCTGATTAAAAGGCAATAGCCACAGTACATCAGACATTACATAGATCTAGGTTCAGATCCTGATTCTACCATTAACTAGTGCCTTAAATATGGATTTCAATCTCACTCCAAACTCAGTTTTATTTTGTTTTGTTTTTTTCAGCTTAAACGTGGAACTGATTATCTCCATCTCAAATTATGAGGATTAAATAAAATAATGTACCATATTAAGACATTTAGTATATGCTGCCACATGGAAATGTATAGTGTAGTAGAGTCCATTCAGTTACCATAAAGTAGGTGAAAGGTAACAAAGTCATGACAGAATGGCAAATTACAATGTTAGGGTGAAAGAAAAACAAGGGGAGCAGGAGCCAAGGTCCAAGAATAACTGGGCTAGAGATAAGAATGTTGAGGAACTGGACCAAGACTTAGAACCCTCAGGCCTGTACTAAATTCACTTCTATTAGATTCTACATGCAGTTACAGAAAATCCTCCATGTGGAAAACACTGGCTAAATTTTACAGTGAGATTGAAATCCATATTTAAAGCACTAGTTAATGGTAGAATCAGGATCTGAACCTAGATCTATGTAATGTCTGATGTACTGTGGCTATTGCCTTTTAATCAGAATTATTTTGAAAAAGCCCTATTCTAAGCTGGTATACTCCTCCCTCTCCAATACATTAAAATAGAAATATCTATAATTATCAGCAATTGCTGTGAATAGAAGTGTTAAAATAAGAAGGAAAGATGACCTCAACAGGAGTAGTCATAGTTGTCACAAACTTAATCAGTGGGTAGAAAGATTGAAAGTCGCAGCAACATAGGAGAGTACTATGATAACCATGTATATGTAGAAGGAAACCTGGGTTCCATTCCTGGGTCTGTCTCAAACTTTCTCTCTAGTCTTGGGTAAGTGACTTCACCATGCCATCAATATCCTGGGGTAAGGTGGAAATGATTATACACAGTGCTACTTATAGCACTGGTTTGCTAGGACATGAATGAGTAGATGGGAGCAAGTACAATGTTTCATATGATAAACTGCACTATCTCTGGGACAGTGGGGAAGGTTGCAGGGATTCTGGGGAGCAGATGGATTTCTTTCTCCTGTTTTCTTATTTTAAAAGTAGAGACCCAGTGCAAGATTTCATGCACCTTGGAAGGAACTATGGACCCTGAGGCTGTGGTGAGCACGGAAATGGGTCTTAGCCATTCTCTATTCCCCCATCTGGCTTCTCCTGCCGTGGCTCCGGGTCCCCTGTCTGCCTGCAGCCCTGATCCCGCTGCTACCACTCCCATGTGCTGACTGTGATGGCCACACTCACACCCGCTGAAGGCGCATATGTGAGGTGTCAGCAGTGGGTGCAAGTGGTGGCTGCTGCTCCTCAGGAGCAGGGGAGATGGAGAAGCCCTCAAGGGCGATTGGGCTGGCAGCTGCTGTTTATACCTGCTGATGGCGCTAAGTGATTGGGACTGTCGCCAGGCACCAGCAGTGGGTGTGAGCAGGGGCTCCAGCGCCAGTAGCAAGTGTGAGCGGGACCATCACTGGCAGAGGGTGCAAGCAGTGGCGGTTGGTCCCGATCTCCCCGCAGGAGCAGGGGGAAGTGGAGAAGCCCTAAGGGGCAATTGGGGCCCACAGATGCCAGTCACACCCACTGACAGTGCCTAGCGATCAGGACTAGCATTAGAAGCCGGCACTGGGTGTGAGCAGGGCCAGTACCAGCAGCAAGTGCAAGCGCCAGGTGGGAATGTGGTGTGTGGGAGCAAATAATTTTCAGTAACCACCAAAGGCTTGCCCTGATTACAGCAATCAGCGCCCTGCCTTGGTCTGGCGCCCCTGCTGTATCGTCCTGCCGCAGCCGACGCCTGCCATGTTCCATGCACACCCCCTGGTGTCAGTACACATCATAGTGACTTGTTGTTTGGTTGTTCTGCCATTTGGTCTATTTGCATATTAGCCTTTTATTATATAGGACTAGAGGCCTGGTGCATGGATTCGTGTACTGGTGGTGTTGCTCGGCCTGGCCTGTGCCCTCTTGCAATACGGGACCCCTTGGAGAATGTCAGACTGTTGGTTTCAGCCCAATCCCCGCAGGCCAGGCTGAGGAACCCCATCGGTGCACAAATCCGTGCACCAGGACTCTAGTATGCATATAAGATCTTTGATTAATCTCTTCCCGCCCTCCTCTTCCCCTTTCCCTCTGAGATTCATCAGTCTGTTCCATGTTTCCATACTTGTGTGTTGAGTGTTTGCGCCTTGGTGGTCAGTGTGCATCATAGCTACTGGTTGAATGGTGGAGTGGTCACTTAGGCTTTTATATATATAGATTATATAGAATTAGTGGTCTGATGAATGAAATTTGTGCAAGGGTTTCGGTCCTTGCAGTTGCAGCAGCTGCCTTGGCCCTCATAATCCCAGCTTCACCTGGAAGGTCATCGAGCAATCAGGTCTAATTAGCATATTATGCTTTTATTATTATAGATGGTAGGTGGAGTGAAATGGATGGTCTCCAGCCCTTCCTGCTCAAAATGCTGAAATTTTACTTGAGCTCACAGGATCTGTTAATAGCCTTCACATATTCTACAAATAGCAAAAATAAATTGACTACAGTTTGGGACATACATGGGCCAAGGACTCTTGCTGACATATGCCATTCTTTAAACACAATAGCATCCAGTTATTAAGGAATCACAGTTCACAGCTAAGGCAGAGATGAATGTCAATCACTTTCCTTGACTTGGCCCACGTTCTTTTGAAATAACTCAGGTCCCACCAGCACCAAGGCACTAGAGTCCATTTTCGCGGGGGTGGTGGTGGGGGGTGGAGGGAGGGTCAGCATTACACTAAGTGTTCCAGCATCATGGGGATTCCCTTCCAAATCCCCCCCACCGCATTCTGAAATTTGGTCATAAGTTTGCGTTATGGATGCTTATATTGCATAATTTTAATAAAGTGATCTGAATTGCTAATGTTTAAGGTATACCTCTATAAGTAGGTTGGTTCACCACGAGGTCACACAGGAAACTTGAAGGTAAATAGTGGCCCTCAAGAGAAAGGCCAGATCGAGTCAAAGTTTCACCAGCTTCTCTCCAGAGCAGACGATTAATTTTTGCTTTCAAGTATAATGAGGTCTGCTAGGCCCAGTAGCTCAGCAAGAGCCTGTGCCAAACCCTGCCAGGCTGTGGGTTCCGCCGGCCCAGCCCCGTCCCACCTTCCCCAGGAGGCGGAGACCGCTCCTCTCCAAAGATCTAGGCGCCAGGAGTAAGTCTCTCTCTCTGGAAGCGAAATCCCCGGTACCCCTCCGTCCAAGAAAGGGGATTAAAGCGACAAAGAAAGAAGGGGAGGGGTTGCTCGGAGGGGGGCTGGGGGTGGGGCGAGCGCAGCCGGCCGCGCGCCGGGCTGGCGGGGGCCGGGACGCGGAGCCCGGCACCGGCGCGGGGGTCCCGGGCGCGCTCCGCCTCTCGCGGGGAGCCACCGCCTCCCGCCGCACGTGCGCGGTGTTGTGTGCCGCGGCTCCTCCCCCTCTCAGCCCCTCCCTCCTTCCTTCCATCCTTCCCTCCCTCTCTCCCTCCCTCCCGTCACCGCCGTCCCCTCCCCCGCCGCCGGAGCCCGAGCCCGAGCGCCGCCAAGCCCAGGCCGCCGCCGCCGAGCGCGCGAGACGCCGAACAGGTGGCCGGACCGCGGGCGCCGCGGGCACAGGCGGGACGGGCCCCGGGGGCGAGGGAGCCGCGCCGGGCATGTGAGCCGAGCGGCTCCTCGGCGTCGCTGCCCGCGCCCCGCAGCCACGCGCCCGCCGCCCGCCCCCGGCCAGGGCCGCTCGCCGCCGTCAGCGAGGGGCGCGGGCGCGGGCCGGCCCCGGCGGCGGCGGCATGAAAGTGACCGTGTGCTTCGGGAGGACCCGCGTCGTCGTGCCCTGCGGAGACGGCCGCATGAAAGTGTCCAGCCTCATCCAGCAGGCGGTGACCCGCTACCGCAAGGCCATCGCCAAGGTGAGGGGCCGGGGCGCGCGAGGCGGGCGGAGCGGCGCCGGGATCAATATGGCGCTTCCTGGGGAAAGGCGGAGGGAGCGGGGAGGCGGGGAGAGGGGGAGCGCGGCGCCGCGCGGCCTCCGGCGCCCCCGGCCCGGGCCGCCGGCCGGAGTCCCCGCGTGGCCGGTCGGAGCGCCGTCCCTGCGGCCGCGCGGGACCCGCGCCCCGGGCCGGACGCCGGCGCCTGTGCCCCGAGGGCCGGCGGCGGGGCGGCTGGTGACCGGCGCCCCGGGAGCGGCCGGAGCGGCGGCGTCGCACCTCGGCCTCTCCCCGACCGCCTGCCGCGGTGGAAATCCAGCCCCAGGCCTCTCCCGCCCCCAGGCCTCGGCGGAGCTGGGACCGGCAACTTCTGGTCGGGAGGAGAGTTTCTTAGCCATTCCCGCCGGAGCGTGGCTGCGTGTCTGCTGCCTCCACTCCCCGCGTCCGTCGGGGAAGGACCTCGGCGCCGAGCGAACCTCCCGCCCGCGCGATGGCCCCGCGGGCAGCGGGGGCCGCCGGCCGGGGGGGCGGGCGCGGGGCGCTCTCCCTCCGCCAGCTGGCTTGCAGCGGGGCCGGGCCGCAGCCGCGGGGCCCGGGAGCAGGGCCGCCCGGTGAAGCCCGAGCCTGGGATGAAAAGTTTTCCTCCGAGGCCTCAGCGCGGACCGAGTGGACTGGCTTCATGTGGTGTCGAGGCCGCGGGGCCTGTGATTTCGGAGTTGAGTAGGTTTCCCTTTTTCTGGTGGAATGATAACATTGTCTCCACTTCACTGCATTCCTGTACAATGTGTCAGAAGTGAAAAGGCATTTTGTTAAATTGTTTTATCTGCTGTGCCTGACAACAGGCCAGCCACCGAAGTTTTCTCTCAAGCAACTGAGGGTGTTTTCTTTGCAGTAATGTGTGATGGAAAGCATATTCACATGTAAAATTTCCCATTTATTCCCGATAGTGATGGCTCCTGTGAGATTTGGGGCAGCAGGTGAGGGGGACGATAGCTTTATCAGCCTGAGTATTTATGGGGCACTCCAGGTGGCATCCCCTAATTTTCTCCGAAATTAAGGGGAAAAAACAAAACAAAACTCACACCTTTTTACTTTTTTTTTTTTTTTTTTTTTTTTTTTTTTTGCTTTTAGTATGTATTGGAAAAATAGCTTAAGTTTGGCTTTTTAAAGGTAATCTTGGAGACGTTTAGAAACTGACACACATGTTGACTAACAATTCTAAAATGTTCCTTACAGTTAATTGAACTCTCACTGAAAGTCAATAAATTTAGCAGAAAGTAGGCACCTGCTTATTTTGCAATGCCAGTGGAGGGGGAGTGATGGTGGTGTGATGGATAGCACAGCAGATAAAACAATACCTACATTTAGTATTTTAAAGAATTGTTTGTGAGTGACAGTTTATGATTTAACTTTTATAAAGCACTAATCATCCAACAAAATGAATCCTGAAAGGAAAGAGAAATACATTAATATATACTTTGCGGTGTGCCTCGTTTCCTGAGTAGGGAAAGGTGATCCACATTTTCTTGCTTACATACTTGTAATTTACATGCTTAAATTATTTATATGATTAACAATTTATATGCTTAAAATGATTCACATTTCATTATGTGTACAATGCACATTGGTTGAATAGTCTGGGAGATGCAGATGCAGTTGTTTGAGTCATTTGTTCATTCCACGGAAATTTTTAAGCATCTGCTGTACTAGTCTGTTCAAGGCATTGTTCTGGGTACTGTATGTTTAGGGGACCCACTAGCTGCTTTGTGGAAACTGGGCTGTAAGAGTCTAGGACCAGAGTCTCCATGGCCCTCAATGGGGAGGAGGCAGTGGAGTGAACTGGTGTGTTGTGCAGTGGGGAGAAAAGGAGTTGGGAGGCCTTGGTGGACCCTTAAAAAAAATAGTACCGGTGGTTATTTCACAGTGACTTAGGAGTGTGGAAAAGTAAGTGCAGTTATCTTAAGGGAGTCTGGGAACTCATCCCAAAGGGAAGGGGCATATGGGCTGAGTTTTGAGGGAAAGTAGATTGCCAGATTGGGGAGGAAGTAAGGGTAATTTTCAGGGTGATGGTAGTATTGGAGTTGGATAAAATGAGAGGGAGGAGTCAGATGATTCAGGGGTTTGCAAAATTATTTAAATACTCTTTAAGTGCAACTCATACTTCAGAAGGTGAATTTTCTGGTGGGCTTTGTAGTATATGAAGTTCAGCCATTGGATTATTAGACACTCTGACTCTTAAATGTTTCAAGAGCCTGAGGGTCTTCTAGGTCTATTTGTATTTTTATCTCTTAAATCAGTGATTCTCAACCTATCTAATGCCCCGACCCTTTAATACATACAGTTTCTCATGTTGTGGTGATCCCAACCATAAAATTATTTTCGTTGCTATTTCATAACTGTAATTTTACTAGAGTTATGAATCTTAATGTAAATATCTGTGTTTTCCAATGGTCTTAGGCTACCCTGCTAGCAGTTCTTAACGTATGGATCGACTGCTATAGAGCCTAAGACCATTGGAAAATTCAGATATTTACATTATGATTCATTAACAGCAAAATTACAGTTATGAAGTAGCAATGAAAATGATTTTATGGTTGGGGGTCACCACAACATGAGGAACTGTATGTATTATAGGGTCATGGCATTAGAAAGGTTGAGAACCACTGATTTAAGAGAAAAAAGAACAAATAGACCTAGACTTAATTTAAGACTTAAATTATCAGGTAATGGTTACAAAGAAATTTCTTTATTTCTCCTACCTCATTTAAAATAAGTATGAAGCAATACATATTAACACCAATTTCACCTTTTATTTTTTCATCTCTTTCTTATCCCTATTGTTTAATAGAACAAGATACATTTTGTATGAAGAATTGGGAATCTGGGAATCTGTAGAGTGGTGTTTAGGTTGCTAGGTGACATGCATGACAAACTCCTGCTCAATCTGGTAGAAAATGTGGAAAGATCATGTTTATGGCTTTGTATAAACACCAACTAAACCAAAGAAGGGAAAAAAAGGATAAGAGAAAGAAAGATCCCAAGTCACAGGCTTTTTCTGCAGTAAGCATTTTGTGGTGTGTGTGTGTGTGGGGGGGGGGGGGGAGAGGAGGGAGAGAAACGCTAATTTTTTTGGCATTATATTTGAGCTGTTTTCTCTTTGGGTTAAACAAATCAATTTTTCTGACAGTGAAGTGGTGTGACTTAATACCAAAAATATCCTCAATAAGCAGATATTTAAAGTCTTACTCTTAGTCATAGCATTTTTTGTCTAGTGAAAAACTTTTTTTGCTTATGATCATTGACTGGTGAAAATATTTTTGCTGTTCATCCCCATCCATTGATTTTTCTCAAGTGCTTACAATGGGAGGACTGATTGCCTGTATGTGTCTGTTCTACTATTGCCTGTGGTCTGACTCATCCATGGTTTCCGATGAATACAGGGAGTGGAGCCCCAGCTGCAGTGGCTGTTCGGGTGGTATGCTAGGGCTTTGTTGGGGACTCCTTAATTCTTAGTGAATCAAGGGTGGCACTGAGTGAGGCTTCCCGTTTTTCCTGCTGTGCTTCCAAACTTAGGAGAAAAATAAAATTGCTATGCTTGTTTTAAAAAAGGCTTTTGTGTACAAAATGCCATGCTCTATGAAGAAAGAGACTCAATTCTTGCACTCAAGAAACATACAATGTAGGAGTCAGGACAATTATAGAAAACTACAAATAACAGTGGGCTTTAGCATTAATTGGCAGCAGGGTGGTACAGATGGTAATTGCTTCTGGATTCAGAGATGGGAGTGGTCATAAATGGCCCTGGGCTTGCATTGGGTATAGTGAGTGGGAAGTTTTGCCTTGTTTTGGGTAATGGAGTGACCTCATAAAGCACATGCGTGGCCAGGGCATTTTGGTTCTGTAGGCCTGCAGTGGGGTCCAGGCATGTGAATGTGAAAAGTGTCTGGTTGATTCTGAGGAGTAGGAGGGAGGGCTTTGTAGGATGTGAAGCAGTCTGAACAAAGGTGTGCCAGGCTTTCGGGGCTCTTTTGGTTCCTGTGAAGAATCCAGGTGAGGTGGTGGGTCATGATCCAGCTGAGGAGGACGGAATGCCAGGGCGAGACAGCATTTTATGTAGTCTGGTGGTTTGCGAAGAGCTGGGGTATTTGGGTAGAGCAGCAGTGTGGACCAGTGGTCCTCTGACAGAGGCCAGGAGCTGTGGTGTGTGGGATTCACCTCTGCTGCTGACTGCTGAGTAACAACTTAAAGGGAGAAGGAAAGACTGAAAGCGAGGGAGGTGGGGTAGAAGTTGTGGAACCTCTTCACTCGCTGCTCTCTGGATTGGGTGTGGAGACCTAGGTTTTTTTCATCATTTAATGTTGGGCAAACCAACCCCACAGAGCTTCACTTTCCTCATGTCTAAAATGGGACACTCCCTTGCAGGGTCAAGGTGAGTGAGTACCAAACAGGATGGTGAATGTGAAACTCAGTCCTGCATCTGAATCATGAGTATGTTTTTACTCATCAAATAGTTTTACTCGATGGGAAAGTTTCCCAAGTATGCTATTCCTGTTTGGTTTCTTTTCTGCTTAAGAAGGTAGTATGATATGGGGGAGATAAGAGATCAACCAAAGGACTTGTATGCAAGCATATAAGCATAACCAACGGATGAAAAACTCTGGGGAGGGAGAGCATGTATGGGAGTTGGGGTGGGGGTGGGGATTGGTAAGGTATGTATGTACACATGTAATACCTTAAAAAAACAAACAAAAATTCCTGGAACAAACAGCAATTTAATTGGGTAGAGCAGCATGTACTGTTAATCAAAACAAGATATCTCAAAACTTTAATAAATGTAACCCTGTTGAATTTTATGTTATCACTATCACAATATCAGTAATATTTAAATAAAATATGTTTAATAATAATAATAATAAGGTAGTGTGTACTTTAAAGAATAAGTGACAAATGTTTTTTTTTTTTTAATATATTTTATTGATTTT